ATTCATTCCAAGCGAAGACCACCTACAAATAGAAAATAAAACATTTATTAATAATATGATTAATTAATTGAAATACTATGATAGATAAGTGAGAATTGGGAAAAATAATTACCTTTTAGCGAATGAGAATTCAAAATTATTTTGTTGGATATGTGCTAGATTGGTCATTCTTGACCAACCCCATGCTTGAAGAAGAATACCACATTCGGTCCAGTTTCCCGAATTTGCTATTGAGTTGTTACATAAAGACCGATATAGGTGCGCTAGTGTTGCGGACCCCAACTATATATTTTTATTTTATTTACATCTTCTAATAAAGGTAAGTACATAGAGTGAACAGTGTTTCCACTTGTATCCGGACATAAAAATAACCCTATTAATAACATAATATAAATTCGAGTTTTTCTAATTTTTAATATTTCAGGAGAATCTCGAGTTAATCTAAGTCTCTATAAATTGTTTTGAGCCATGACATTAAAAATTTTTGGCCCCTCATATCTCGTGGGGTTGGTTTAACCCCTAAGAGTTATCCTATGACACTACCGCTAGGATTGGTTATACCGTTTACCGCCTTACCATCTATGGGTAAACCCAATAACATGTATGTATCCTCGAGTGTAACTGCACATTCACCTATTGAAAGATGAAACGTGTGTGTCTCGGGACGCCACCTTTCTTGCAGAGTCAAGATAAACTTGGTATCAAGGAGATAATTTGTAATGTTAATGACTTCTCCAAATCCCGCGCGCTCCAAAAAAAGGTTGAATTAACGGGTCATGTGGGAAATGTTTATGCCCACGAGTACGAAAGTCATGAGTATTCTACAAAAAAACAAACAAGAAATTAGAACATTGTATTTGTAAAAACATTATAATGCTACGAATAAAGACAACATTGTGAATTATCAAGTACAACTACTTACATAAGACGCGATGTTGCTTGGTGTTCCTCTATGCGTTTCATCCAATGTTAACAGAGACATGACTTCTATAGTGTGGATATATGAGGAAAATATTGGGAGAATTTGAATTGTTGGATATATTTGATGTGTTTTTTTGGAATGAGGAGGAGTAGTATTTATAGTAAAAATTTTGAATTTGAAATTTGAAATTTGAATTTATGGTTGTAGAGGTAAAAATTAAATTTGTGTAGTTGAAATATTGATTGATGTGTAGAAAAGTTAATGAGATAGATGAATTTGTGTAGAAAAGAGATTGATGTGTAGAAAATTCCGTACAGTTGTCATGCTGCATGCATGCAAAAAGTGAATTTTCTTACACATGTCACAGGGGAGCCATACCCCACGGCGCCCCCCTTATGTCTTAAGGAAGGGGAGCCATACCCCACGGCGCGCCCCTTATGTATTAATGAAGGGGAGCCATACCCCATGGCGCCTCCCTTATGTTTTTAATAATATTAAATTCGTGGCCATTTCATCTATATGTATACATTGAAGACAAAATATTATACATCTCATTGTATCCTAACACATCCCTTAAACTATCATTCAACTATGTCTAGAACAAAAAATTATATTGTTCATACCCATTTTAATGGAGAGACTTTCATCTCTGAGAAATCGGGTTTTGGGTTTCAAAATACAGATCTTACCCGATTAACAATGAGTAGAAAAGCAAATTTTGTGCATTTCAAAGAGCGCATACAGTCGAAGATATTGTCTGGTCAAATCTCTCAGATCATTTATAGAAGTCCTGTTTTTTTTTACAACAATCAGGTCAAGTATTTTCAAGAGAAAATACAAGACGACAGCGATGTTGATCAAATGTTTGATAGTCATGAACACTCTGGGTTCGACTATATCGAGTTTTATCTGTTACTCTGTCAAACTAAACATGAGGTTGGCGAAACAACGGATATAGATGAAATTGATGTTGTGGACAAGGAGGAAGAAGATCCAGAGGCCATGGTTGATCAAATGGTTAATTTGTTCGGGACTGGGGACTACACTGCAATGACTCCCCTGCAAGACATAGATGAAGAGGCCCTACCATTAAATCAAGTGTATTGTCCTCCCCAACACATGACGAACTTGCAATTCAGTGGAGACGATACTTCCTCAGATTATTTCTACAATCCTTCTCAACAAATTGAAGGTGTCTTGAAAGTCGGAAACCAGTACCGCACAAAAGAGGAGTGCATGAAAGCCATAAGAAAGTTTCATATGGATAACTTTGTTGATTTTTACATCAATCGGAACGACTCAAAACGCTATGTCATAGTTTGTCGTAACGCAAGTTGCAAGTTTCGGTTAGCAGCGTCCTATCGGAAAAGAAGTGATTGTTGGGAGATAGGCTCGATGGATCCACCTCATAGTTGCGCAACCAACATCAATCGGCAAGATCATGGAAAACTAAGCTCTCAATTGATATCCCAAGAGATTTTGCATCTTGTGGGCGTAGATCCATCTGTGAAGGTGAGCACAATTATCTCTCATGTTGTTGCACGGTTCAACTATACCCCATCGTATAGGAAAGCTTAGATAGGTAGAATAAAAGCGGTGCAACATGTATATGGGAATTGGGAGCATTCTTACCATCAAGTTCCACAGTATATACTAGCACTTCAAAAATATGTTCCTGGTACGGTTGTAATATTGGAGTCACTACCAGCATACACTCCTGAAGGAACATGTGTTGATGGAAGTAGGATATTTTCTCGTCTCTTTTGGGCATTTCAACCATGTATCAAAGGTTTTGCATTCTGCAAACCAGTTATACAAGTCGACGGAACATGGTTGTATGGAAAATACAAAGGAACATTGTTGATGGCGGTAGCACAAGACGGAAATAATAATATATTTTCGATTGCCTTTGCCCTGGTCGAGGGTGAGACGGGCGAAGCTTGAAGTTTCTTCCTCAGAAATCTCAGAACATATGTCGCACCTCAACCCAACTTATGTCTGATTTCTGACAGACATGCTTCTATTGTGAGCGCCTACAACAATCCTGTTAATGGTTGGCACAATCCTCCTTCTGTCCATGTCTTTTGCATAAGACACATTGCTCAAAATTTTATGCGGGAAATTAAGGACAGAAATCTCCGTAAAAAAGTTGTGAACGTTGGGTATGCCTTAAACCAACCATCGTTCATGTATTAAGGTGGGTGGATAGTATTCCAATCGAGAAATGGACAAGGTCATTTGATGGAGGGTGTAGATGGGGTCACATGACCACAAGTCTTGTAGAATCCCTAAACGGCGTATTACAGATTGGGGTCACTTTTTGCGGCAAGAGGCAAAATATGGAGCGCTGTACTGCAATCAGGGAAAATATTCAGCGAATCAAGCATGAAGTATATGAGGGATGAAACTTCTAAGTTGGCCTCACATCGAGTTAGACCATTTGATCGTCACGATTACAGCTTCATTGTTGATGAGACAATGGATCACAACGAGGGTCAGCCAATGGGACACTACAGGGTGGAACTTCATAAAAATTGGTGCGACTGCAAAAAGTTTCAAACTTTCCGCATGCCTTGTTCACATGTCATTGCCGCATGTTCAACTGCTCGTCAGGATCCATTCTTGCAGCTATCAGAAGTTTACAAGGTCGTGAACTTATTCGGTATCTACAGTAACAGTTTTCCAGTGGTAGCTAGTGAGGACTATTGGCCAACCTATCATGGAGACACAATCTACCACAACGAAAATATGAGAAGAAACAAAAAGGGCCGCCCCAAAAGCACCTGAATTACAACTGAAATGGATACAACTGAGAAAATGGAAAGATTGTGCGGAATATGTCGTCTTCCCGGGCATACGAGGAAAAACTGTCCAAATGTTGGAACAAGTTCTAGATAGATTTAATTTGGTCATTAAAAATTGTGTAACCTTGGAATTTAATATTTATATCAACTTTTCGTTACCACAAAAACGAATTGAAATACTTCTACAGCAACAACGCAAATCATTAAAAATACAACGATTATTACAACATAAACTAAGATATAACAACAATCAAAGTAATATCATCAGTTCCGAACATCATAGACCTAACTTCGTTGTCATCTCTAATTCGCACCCAGTCCCGCCGTATGTTTCCGTCTTTAACAGAGAAGTACGAGACAAGTCTTTCAATACTCCTAATTCTTTCACCATTTGGAATGTCTCCTTCTAGCCACCGATTCAAAGTTCTTCGTAGTTGTTCTAAACTCTGGATGTTCCAAAACAACATCCTTATCAGAGGCTTCGTTGGTGAAAAAATTACATGCCCATATCTTCTAAGGTACATGACTCACTCTTCTAAATTTGGATGAAACAATGTTAACAACAAGTCTACCTATTTATAAAAAAAATTTTGGAATAACATAATATAAAATTTTAATTATATTAATTATAATATATTTGAAAAATTATATTCGTTTAAAGGGAGCTCCATAGGGGATGACGCCCCCCTTTAAGTCATTTAAGGGAGGAGCCAAAGGGGATGACGCCCCCTTTATAATTTATAGGGTGCCTCCATCCTGGATAGCGCCCCCATATAAATTATAAGGGAGGAGCCATACCCCATGGCGCTCCCTTGTAATAATAAAAAAAAACAAAAATGAGGTAGATTGAGAAATATGAGAGATAGTAGGGTAACTTAGATATTAGGGGGGTTAAAGTTGGTTATTAAAGAAAAACCTAGTTATATAAAATAAAAAATAAATTAATTTTCTCTTCGTATCTCTCATACGCTTTTTATGGAATTCTGTTTCTAGAATATAAAATATTTGAAATTCAAAGGGGATCCGAGATTTGGGGCGAAAACAACTCAAAAACCTTATATAATAGGCAACCTGATGTTTTGCCCTAAAGAATAAACTCCTTTCACAAAAACTTCTCAAATCCAATCTCTGAACGAAGCTTCTTCTCCAAAATCTCTTGTTGTTGTCGTCGTCTCCTTCAGGTAAACATCATGATATTGCTTCCTGCAAACCCTAGTTTGTTTTCTAGCTTCTACTTCAAATCTTAAAATATACTTATTCTGTTTGTGTGTGTTCATTATAGATTGATATACTTATTCTGTTTGTGCGGCAACAATGGACAATGACTTGCCTGATTGTATTTTATCCTTAATCTTTTCCAAGTTATCTGTCAAGGATCAGTTCAAAACTCCCATATTGTCCAAACACTGGCTTCGCGAATGGAAATTATCATCAACACACCTCAATTTTGATCGTAACACACTGCCTACAGACCTTCCATCTCAATTCACAGCAAGATTGGATCAGTTCATGCTTCATTATCAACACGAGGCAATCACTTCAATTCGAGTCAAATATCCATTGCATGATCAACACAGTGATGTCATTGATAGATTGATTTCTCAAGGGATTGCTAAGGGTGTCAAATATATTCAACTATTATTCTCACCTGAAACTAATCCTGCTTATTTTAATTTGGAATTTAAGCCTTATAGATTCTCTCTCTTATCTGATTCTTTGGAATTTAAGCCTTATACATTCTCATTCTCTCTCTTATCTGATTCTCTAACGTATCTGCACCTAGAGAACTGCCTCGTAGCAGCACCAGCACCTATGGAATTCTCTGGATTGAAGAATCTGGCAACCCTTGTCTTGCAAAAAATCCATGTGAAACAGGATCTGCTTGACAGCCTGTTTTACAACCGCATCCATCTCGCAGACTTCACCCTTGATAACTGCTACTTATATTATTTTTTTAACATAATTAGTCCAGCATTGGTTCATTTGAAAATTGTTAACTGTCACTGTGTCTACCTGAGTGTCATGGAAATCATTGCACCAAATCTCTCATCCCTTGAATATTCGTGTAAGGATAAAGAGATACCCTTCCTGACCATTGACACTCATGCTCTATCACACTTTAGCTACAGGGCTTTCCAAATTGGATTTATGGGTGGTGATGATATGTCTTGCTTGAAAAATTTGACAACAATTGTGTTGGACGGAATTTGTTACGATTACCCAAAATTGATCACACGGTATTTGTTTCAACAATGTCTCCAACTTGAGAACGTCACCCTTAAAAATTGCCCAATAGCAGGTGAAATATACATTACTGGTCCGAAGTTGCGTTATTTGAACATAATTGATTGCGGCTCTAAGAGCTCTAAGAAATCAGCTCCTTATATGATATATATTGATGCTAAGAATCTCTCATCTTTTGAATATAGTGGTGTCGGTGTCAGGAATTTTTCTGTTATGGCACCAAAGTTATTGGAGATTTTTTTGAATGCTTCCGTAAAACACAAAAAAAGTGGCCACGCTAGGGTTTTTTGGCATGCAGCCGGAAAAGATTCACAGTTTCTTCACAATGAATTCGAATATGGTGAACTACATGACTGTGTTTGCACAGTGTGCTAGGATCCTATGAGAAAATTACTTTCAACTCTTGTCACAGATTTTTAATGGATGCTGGAAGATGGACTAAGGGCACAGATAGTTATTGGTTATTGGTTTTATCGTAATTTCATTTATGAAGTAAAAGATCTTAATTTCTTTTAGTGAATGTACTCTTGCCACAACATAAATTTTGGTGCTATTTTATTTATAATTATTATAATGTGTTGAAAGTTAATTATTCGTACAAATATTATATAATACTAGCATTCAAACGGGTTCATTTATTATAATGTGTTAAGTTTGATTTTCATATAAAATATATATGACGAAGTATATTGTATTTATTCAGCTACATATTAAGTTCTGTTTGCAATATATAATATTTATGCATTAAATTTTGTTTGAATTGAGAAAACTGCATTGTCACGCGATTATATTTAACTGATTTTTTCAAGCAATTTAATAATGTGAGTGGAATAATTTAGTGGTTACGAATACCGTATTATGAAAAAAGAAAATATGTTACACCAAAATTAAGTTTTCTATTTATGTATTGTTATAGATTGTACAAAATCATAAGATTTAAATAAAATAAGAAAAACATGTTTTTCACAATTTACTAAGCTAATAGAATAAACATTAGCAAACATTAAGTGACATTGTAAAATAGAAATGTCAACCATGAAATCGAAATCTGTTTTGTATTTATGTATTGTTATAGATTGTACAAAATTATAATATTTAAATAAAATAAGAAAAACATGTTTTTCACAATTTACTAAGCTAATAGCATAAACATTAGCAAACATTAAGTGACATTGTTGTTTAATAGGAATGTCAACCATGAAATCGAAATTAAAAATATCTCTTGTTTTACTGCAAAAAAATAAGTGTGACTTTGCAAAAGTATAGTTGAACAATTAAATATAATAGATAAATATCTGAGTTTGTGATAATAAAATTTCTTTAAAAACTGTATTTTTGGTAAACTCCCATTCTTTCCCATCTACTTTTCCCTCTTTAATTAGCACTCTTGTGACAGCACGCGAAACACCTCTTGATAAAGCAACGTACATACAATTGTCTGTGACTGACTGAAAACATGTCGTGGAAGATAAATTTCAACATTTGGAATTGTTTGTCCTTATGATTTGTTTATAGTGATTGCAAAGCTTA